AGTAAACTTTCTTCCTTGACTTCATCATCCAATTTTGGATGTATATTTGAACTTCTTCTCTCTTGTTTCCCGATTTTTGTATGGATTGGGGCTCAAAAAATCCATACACATCTTGGGTGCATTGTTCCTTCGACAATTCATTCATCATCCTAAAGTAGCCAGTTCAATGTACATTAAATATGACGATAACTTCAAATAACATAATTAGTAAATAAAAATAAATACTTACATTGTCCAAAATTGTAACAACTGCTATGTTTAGACATTGATTGCCAACTGCTATCTCCACGAGCATCGGTGTGGTCAATGTAAAGGGGAAAGTTCTTATTGTCTACCCCTAACTTATCAACATCCCACTTCACTTGAAAAGATTGAATATACAAGCTGTGGGACAACAGATAGTAGTTGAAAAATTGGATTTTCTCGGGACATCTACTTCCTTACCTTTACTAGTATGGGAAGTAGGAACCAGTTTAGGCAACTGGGGTGGCTTCTGAACATCCTACATAAAATAACATTGACTTGAGAAATAATAAAAAACAGATACCAGACTACATATGATAATTAACAGAAAGTATATGCAAACCTTTTTCAAAATAGGCCCGATTAGATGTCTAGGCCATGCAATGAAGGTCCGGAGGGTCTGTCCCACTTGTCATCACCTCGTCACGTGGGCACAGGTATAAGAGCATAAGCATCTCGAACCTCTTCAATGACCACTTTGGCCAAGTTAGGTGCTAAAGGCACACTATGAATTGTAGAGACCCCTCTTCAATTGAACCAACCGCCACCAATCGTGGTTCGGATCCATCCTCATCAACATAAAATTCACACTCGACTCGATTACACAAAAATAAGACATTAATTATTTAATATGCACATGAATTTTTGTCATTAAGATATCATCCACACATACCCGAGTGGTCGATGTACTGCAACAACAACAACAACCTCCTGATTAGTAGCAGGAAGGTCTTGATCGGCGATATTTGGCTCAGCCTAACTACCCTTAGTGCTAACTCGTGCGGCGAGATGGAGGAGGAACATCCATAGGTGGGTGGGTAGGTTGTGTGACACCTATGGATGCTAGACTTGAACCAAATACACGCATCATCTCCTCCTCGAACTCGTGCGGTAATGGCTGGTGTCGGCGTCAGCTGTCGGCTCTTCAACCATCGCTGGTCTCGGCTTCACTGTTAGACTCTCCTCCAATCCGGCCATCTCCTGTCGGCTCAATGATGTGGTGTGAGTATGGTCCGATGATGGAGCTCCAAAATATGCTCGAATACCCACACCAGCTCCAACAACACGAACACGCCCTGGGTGTTACGGGCGTCCAATAGCAGTAGTTAATATATCTTCACGACCACGGGGAACAAATGTTCCCTGTGTATCTGCTCCTCTAAAGAATCCTACAATTGAGCATTATATATTGTAAAAAAAAATTGATGAATGACAAAGCATGGTTAATGAGGTTGAAAGAAACTAATTTGACTTACAATCCGCTCAGCAATCAAGCGGGCCTCCTCCGATGTCATTTCACCGGAGGGCTTTTGCCGAGCCCTCTTCCATTTTTCATGACGTTTTGGAGGAGATGGTGGGGAAATTTCTTCCTGGCTTACACCAGAAGAGGCTAACTCGGCTTCTCGGAGTTTAGCCTTCTCCTTCATCATGCGTTGCATCAACAAATCATACCCCCACGAGACAGACAGGTGGGGGCCACATTCAACCTCCGAATCTCCTTTCCTTTTATTTGCTTCTCCTGCAACATAATATCATATTACAATGTGCTAAATTAATAAGACAATATGGAAACATACCAAAGTTTTTAAATAGTAACATACCTCCCATTGTGGACCAGTCCTACTCCTGACAAACTGCTTCCAAGTTTCCTCATCTATGCCATAACGCTGACAAGGAGTTAATCCTTTGCTAATGGCTTGGTCATTAAAAATCCATTTTGAAGTCAATGTCGACTTGAATTGCCTCCACATTTTGGCAATAGATGACATGACTTTTCTCCTAACTTGTTCAGAGTTAACAATATCAAAGTGATTCTGCAAAAACAACAAAATAAATTAGGATAACAAAGTTTAGGATCTAACTTAACTTAACATAATTTAATGAGTTAACAAAACTCACCAAAATATCTTGCCAAATTAAATTTTTGCAAGTCTCCTCCACATAATCCCAAGATGGATGCAAAATAGATACCTAATTATGAACTTAAAACGTTAGATATCAATCCATTTACATATGTCGACCATATATGCATAACAAGTTAAAAACTCTAAAAAATTACATACCTTTTCTCTAGCAAGAGTACCCAAGTAGGACCTAAATTGAGTGTGATGTGGTCCCGATATTTTGCCGCTCTTTGGATCCACACTCACAACCAACTTATCTCCTGCCATATGACGAACGGTCAACTTTTTCAACCGTGTGGCTTGTCGAGTCCTCTTTAGAGATGGGGGGGGGGGGTGGACATGCCGGAGGAGATGCTGGAGGAGATGCTGGAGGAGATGGTGGAAGAGATGCCATTTGCCTGTTAAAAAAAAAAATTAAGTTAAGTTTTTGCATAAATTGGAATATAAACACAATTTATCTCATATTTGAAATATAAACACAATTTATCACATATTTTCAATATAAACACTTCATGATTAATTTCTAACAAAAATCCGGCAGAGTTTCCTTTGTTTTTTGGCAACAATTTTAAATGACACAGTGAAACCTAACAATAAAAAGCCCCACGGGCATATTCAAGCAGTTCAAGTATAATTGTACACATCATCAATACATTGAAAAAAACTATAATATGACTAAGAATTGAATCAACAGTTAACGGCAAATGACTAATAATCTCTACCTATGAAATGTAGTAAGTAAAATTGTATGACTTTGCCCAACAAATATAAGTGTAACAACATCGTACCTGTGGTTTAAGGCGGCGATGAAGGTTCGCACCACGAGAGAAGCAGAGCGTAGCCTGCAGGGTGGAGGTGGAGGATGCAATGCGGCGTTAGGGTCGAGGCTGTGGTGAGCGGACAATGCAATGTGGGTGGAGGCTGCGGTGGGGGTGGAGGGTGGTTGACTAGCGTCGCGGTGGGCGACTAGCGTCGCAGTGGGGTGGAAGCTGCAGTGGGGTGGAGGTGCTGCGGCGGGGGTGTCACGCGGTGCGCGGTGGCGACGTGAGGGAGGGCGTCCGGAGAGTCTAAATGACGGTGGTAGGTGGTGGCCGCGATGCTGGAGAGTAAGGGGAGTGGGCGCGATGCTGGAGAGTAAGGGGAGATATACAAAAATGGTAGCCTATTCAAATGGGAAAACGGGGTTTCGACGTCGGTTATACCCACACCCGACGTTGAAACTCGATTTATCTCCTGTTTTAATCGATTGAAACGAGATTTAATCGATTAAAATAGTTATGATCGGTCATAACTGGATTCTGATCGATCATCCTGACCCTTTAAGAGATTTTAATCGATTGAAACGTGTTTTTAATCGATTGAAAAAATTCTGATCGCTCATAATTAAAATCTGATCGATCACATTTGATTCTGATCGGTCATATTTGTATTCTGATTGGTCATAATGAGTTCAGAAGGGTTTTCAACGTCGGGTGAGGGCATAATCGACGTCGAAAGCCTACTTTCCACGTCATGCATGCTAAAACGACGTAGAATGTGTCAAAATTCGACTTTCGACGTCAGTTGTTGACCAACCGACGTTGAAAGCATGTTCAACGTCGGCTAAGATGTAACTGACGTTAAACAGCGACGTTGAAAGTATATTTTCTAGTAGTGTAAGGTACCTCAAAAAAAACTCCAAGACAAGGTTTGCTATTTGAAGATAAAAGAAATGTCTAAGTCTCCAAATACTGTGATGCTGATTGGGCAGACTCCCCAACTGATAGACGTTCTACAATGGGATATTGTGTATTACTTGGAGGAAATATTATCTCATGGAAAAATAAAAAGCAAAATGTAATGGTCAGATCAACTACTGAAGCTGAATACATGAGAATAACGTCTCTTACTTGTGAACTTATATGGGTAAAACAATTCATTGGAGAACTTAATTTTTGTGAAGTCTAGACCATGAAAATGTATTGTGATAATCAAACTAGTGCTCTCCAAATTGCGTCAAATCCAATGTTTCATGAAATAACTAAACACATAGAAATTGACTGCTATTTTGTTTGACAAAAATTATTGTCCAGAAAAATTTGTATTGGGTTTGTTGGATCTAATAATCAACTTACAGATATGTTGACCAAGTCCTTAAGAGGACTTTGAATTGAGTTCATTTATTCTAAGCTTGGTATATACAATTTGTATACTTCTTATTAAGGGAGAGGGAAGAGTGTTGGAATAATGATTAAGTATATATGTAATAATTAAGTCTGAGTAGGAGATAATGTGTTAAAAACATCTATCAGTTGTCCCGCTTTTGTACTTACATATCTTTTACAACCTTAAATCTATGTTCTCTTGTATCAAACATTTTAATATAAATAAAAAATTATTAAGAAGGGTAATTAAGTCCTTCAATCTATATTTTTCTATTTCTTAACCTGAAGTCAAATATTATAAATATGATTAAGAAGATAATTATTTTTGATAATATATATCAATAAAATAGTTAAAAAAAATTGTTTAAAATATAATGTTGATAAAGTTAGGTTTGGATAGAAGAAATGATTAGATAAAGGAGAAATCTTTGATGGAAGAGAAAAAGACAAAAAGAAAGAAAAACCGGAAACACGCGCCCAGTGTCGGCTGGGGAGTGTGTTCACGCCATCACCACCATCGCTCACACTTTCTTTCACTCACACACTCACTCATCTTCTCTTCCTAATAACTTTCCATTTGCCCCGACCCAACAAATCATTTTCTTTCACTTTCTCTCCTCTTCCAGGAAAAACGCCCCTCCTTTTATTCCCCCTATTCCATGTACGCTCCTCGTTATCCTCTCTAACAAACTCAGTACGACACGGTTCCATGGACACCGCCATGCGCACCACCAGCGTGCAACAACGCACCCCTACAAAGAAAACCAAACCCAGGAAGAAGAACACCCCTCACCCTGTCAAAGTAGTGTACATATCCAACCCCATGAAAATCAAAGCCAGTGCCTCCGAGTTTCGTGCCCTGGTGCAAGAACTCACCGGCCAAGACGCCCAGTCGCCGCCAGACCCCACACGCCTCCACGCGCTCGATTCCTCCGATGATTCCTCTTCCGACAAGGTTACCAATGTTGATGACCACGTTCTCCCTCTCCCTCAGGATCCCAATGATTCCGTACAGCATCAGCAGCTACTACAACAGCAACCCTCTTCTTCATTTGAGGCTCTGGACGACGATGTTTTCACACCCCAGATGATAGAGAGCATTTCCTCCCTGCTTCCTCCAAGTCTATTCTATGAATCTCCCCATCTTAATCACTGGTGATACTATGCCACTGATGCAGTGTAATTAATTATTGTTATTACTATTATGATAATTATGTTTTTTCTTTGGAAAGGTGAAGCTCGAGTTAAAATCCAACTCAATTGATTGTCTCTCTATCTATATATATACTAATAAATGGATAGGTGGATGATTGTTTTCAATTGTAGATTTTTTGGACCCTTGATTTGTGAGGTATATGCTTGTTTATATATAATTATCATATGTAATTGCTTTATGTGACTCAATAGCTTCATGATTGGGTGATTAACTGTGCCTTAATGATGCTAACTTTCTTTGATTTGAATGTGGTTTTGTTTTTTTGTGTGTTTGTTTATCATGAAAAGGAAATTAGGGCATTGGGTTGTGGGGTTTTGGATGCTTTAGGAATGTGCATGGTTGCTAGCTTGATTCTTACCTTCCTTGGAAGGGTTTTGCACAGAGGCTCCTCGGGGGGATTTTTCTCTTTACCCTTGTGGATGGATAAGTAAGTAAGGGTAATATGTTGAAAATTGAATGATTTGCTTTGGTGGTTGGAATTGAATTTGATGCTAAAAAGAGTGTGGATAGAGAAATAGGGACCCAATTCATGATGAAAACTTCAATGACCACTTATTTTTAGCACATTTAATGATTCAAACACTAGAGTTTGGATTGGAGAAAATCTTTGCCCATATTATACCTAACCACGTCTTTCTCCTTAATTAAGATTAATTTTTTATAGATAATCTTTTTCGCTAATACTCATCTCAGCATAAGATCTGCTCAAGTTGTTACAATGGGTACAGATGCAGTGAAAAATTCCTAATTAAGATTTGAATTAAGAACATTGTTAACTTACATAAATCCTAGTTTCTAGAATTGATTTTGATTTTCAGTGATTTAATTTATATTTTAAAACTATTTATTTGAAGAATGATATGATGTTGTGCACTTTCTGATGTATAACTATAAAATAGAATATACTTTTCTATAGTAATATGATGTTAAGTTGAATAATATTCATGAAGATGCATACAAACCGAATTTACTCATTTGCGAAATATTGTTTCCATGTTTAAGAAGTCAAACCCAAGTTTCAAATCCAAACTATATATATATATATACACACACTGACTCCCTAACACCAGATTACACACAGCCATAAACATTGCTTCAGTGACATTTTGTTTTCAATGGTTTGCTGACAATGAACAAAAGCAAAATTGATGGCTTAAACTGAAAGCTAGATATTCCTATATATAGAATATCTTATCCTTTTTTATAGTATGAATATTGCCCATATAATATTGCTGTATTTTGGCATATAGTTATTGCTATATATTGGTGTATATTCTGCCACAGCTCTCTGACATTTTCCTAAATTATGAAACTTTATGAAAATGGAAAAGAAACTGTATCCTGTGTGTACAACAAAACCTCATACAAAGAAAGAGATAAAAAGATATAGAGAAAATACTTGATTCGACAAGAGATATACGAAGAAAACAGTGAATAATAATTAAATAATATAACTCAATGGAAGTTGATCATATATTTAGCTTCCAGTTACAGTTGACAATAATTAGAAATGGAACTTTATTTAAACACACTAACAAAATAAAATGTCTTTATATTATTATTCAATCACTAGTTACTATAAAATACATATATTTAGAGTTATCTTAAAAGAAATTACTGACAGTATAAATTTTTTACTAACAAACAATACATAAGTATTAAACCCTTAGTAGCTATTGGCTGTTTGAAGCATCTGCAAAATCCACTTTCTGAGGATTTGAATCTTATCTGTGTTTTAATCAGTAATGGAGATATAATATAACCCTTACGTTAGATAATCAAACTCTTAATTATAAACTGAATAAACCTTGTGGAAAAGAGAATTACGCTGGTATGTGTGTACTGTTAGCCTCCCAACCTCCACATCCATTTATAGAAAAGTTAGCACCAACTACATAGGACTTTTATTTATGAATTACAGTGGCAAGATGAGGCAAGCAGTCACTTCAGACAATGAGACAACATGGTTTGAGAAAGACCCATTCAGTTACCTCTCATGACGATTACACAATTGCATTCGGCCAAACATGGAAAAAGTGAACCCTATATATATTCATGTATATCCTTGCACAGTTCATAGTTCAATATATTTTTAACTTTCAATCGGTGAAGGAGGTGTCAAAATTCATCTGCATACTAATTCGTTGTTTCATGACAACACCTTTAATCATCTTGTTTCTATACACAGTGGTTGTTTCCCCATGATTCACTTCTGGGAAGAAAGCGTAGTGATGGTAATTTTTGGTATGTATTTCCGCTATATATAGTTTAATTTGATTCAAAGGAGTTGAAGGAGAGTGTGCAATAATTTGGTTCAATTTTTGTTAAATTAAATGTGAGAGATAAGATAATATATGATGCGCGCGTCTCATCAGAAAGATTTGGAAGTAATTATATGAGGAAAGAAAAGGAAGTTATGTGTGTGAGTGATGCAAAAAGGACCAAATTGAAGGACAAAATTGGGTTATTTCCTGCAACTTGCATCTTCTTATGGATCCTCTCTTTCGTAATGGTGGGGCGAACCTTTTCTTCTCTCTATCAACTTGCAACGGGACTTCCATCATTTTATCAGTTTATGTATGTCTTGGTCATGTGATAAGACTTTTTATGTGTCAGTTTCTGGGATGCTTCCTTTCCAATTTTTATTCCTTCTGCGTCAAATGACTTCTCAGTAGCATTACAATAAAACACTGCTACATCCATTCAATTTTTTAGACTTACCATATTAACATACAATTTTGTTTATTGTACTATTAATATAATAGTTATAAAAAAATTATTGTAAATTCAATCACATGTGTCGATCATATCCACAAAAGTACATGCCTCAATTATACATATATTTATATAACACATGTTGACATTTACGATTTCATCATTAATCATTACAAATAAATTTGTGAATTGAGTCGCAAGTTCAAATAACTCAGGTTGAATCGATGATGAATTTCATGATCCAGAGTATGTGTGTCAATTACATAGCACTTGGAAAATATTTGGTTTGGTTACAAATCATAATTATTTTAAAAATAGTTTTTATTAATAGTATAATAAATTAAATAAGTAATCAGTATTAACTAAATGATTTTTTTTTATAAGTAAATTTGTGAATCCAATAGAGTCAAACACGAGTTAAACCCGTAATAGTTTTCAAATTCATACAGTTCAATTCCACAGAAATCAAATAACAACACATTATATATGATGATGATTCAGAAATATTCAATTTTCTATTACTGACTATAATTATTTTCTATGCGATTTCGTCACTAATTAAATAAGCAATCAGCATTGACAAGAAATTTTCCCATTAAATTTATATAAATTTCTTTTGAAAAGCATTGTAATATTTTCTTATCATCTTTGATGTACGAATTGATTAAAGGAATGAACAAAAAAAGAAAAGAAAGAATATAGTACAATTTAAATAATTGACATGCACAAGTGTCTGAAATTATTTATGAAATCAATTATCACTTTTCAAGTAATTATCAATAATTAATTTGCCATATATATTCACAATCACAATTCATTGATTTTTATTTATCTAATGGTGATGATTCTTTTATCTTATATTTTTGTTTCTTTATTTTATCAATACAATCTATTTACCTATTTTAATTTCGTTGGGTTTCTACATTTTTCTTTTCACTCCTTGTCTTTTTAGGCTTAATACTCGTTGGAAAAAAAATGCTTATTTTGAAATATAAATATGATTATAAAAAGATAAAAATAAAATAAGAAATGAGAGTTAGCTAATTCATTAACAAATAATAGCCATGCTCATACATAGTCAATGTTGAGATTCAATTAAGTTCAATTTTTTTATGAATGCAATAAATAAATAAAAAATAAAAACTGAACCTTGCCATGAAAGGTTTCAGAGAGAACAAGATCTGACTATCAGCATAATTCAAATGGTAGGGTTGAAACATTGAAGGCCTCATCAATGATTTTGATTATTTTTTCATGATTTTTGATATGGATGAATATGTTCCAATCACAGCACAAGCGATTCCACAGGCTGCAATTATGACGCTAAGTGTGACCTAATGATGGCAAGAAGAAACATTAGTAAAGAGAAAACTTTGAAAGATGAGAACTTTTTTTGGTAAATTTCATTTTGCTAAAACCCCACAATTTAAAATGCGTCTAAAGTCGATTATCTAGTCTTACAATTAGACAACAAAGCTTTTAATTTTGTTGGGGATGTACGGATTAATTATTTTTTAAAAATATAAGAAAAATGTCGTGTATTCTCAAACTCATGAAATTTTGTTAAATACTTTTCTCTCTTAAGTGCATGTTATTTATTATATGATGAGGATTTAAATAACATAAAAAAAAAAGGTTGCACTATAAATCACTTGTTTATTCATTTTTAAGTTCACGTTATTTGTTTAACTCATATTTTTTAATGGGAGATAAGAAATTAGAAAAAGGAAACAAGTGACTTATAACACAACAAAAGTGAATAAATATTTTTTTAATTACTACTTTGCCACCTTTCTAAAATGAATGATCATATTGTACCCCAAATGAATAAAATTAATGAATTTAATATTTTCATAAGATAAATACAGTTAAGGGAAAGAAAAACTATCAAAATGAGCTAGACTCATACCTGTGTATTTGTTGCATTTTTTCCCACGATTTTCAAAAAACATATACTTGGTAATACCACTGCCTGGAAAATATAGGAACTCAATGACAGTTAAATCCAAAACATAAATATTATTATTTGACGTCACAAAAACTTGAGTTTAGATTTTGACAGAAGCATGTGCATATTCATGTAAATCATAACTGGAAGCTTACCACTAATACACTGAGGAGAGAACCAATTAAAGCCATCACAAGACCTGAAATTACAATAAATGATGATAAAGTCCTGTTCTTCACATCACATGACACATTGTTACGGTGTCAAGTGTTAACTTATAGGACAAATTTTCATCAGATGACCTGAAATTAAGTGACTGGGACAGAATAATTATGTAGTTATATATATATATATGATTGATTTGTTTTTCTGTTTTTTTAGGGTGATAATGACTTTTTTAAGATGTATATATACATGATATATAATTGGTTATAGATATTTAGTATTTTTTTTATCTCCTTCTTCTATATTTTTTTCCAGTTGAGTGCAAGAACTCACATAATATCATCACTAATCTTCTGTCATTGTATTATTTAAAAATTTGTTTCTTTTTTATAATTTTATATTATCTCTATTGTTTTTATCACTACTTCTTAATTATCTTTTACCTATCTTCTTTACTTTTTCATGACAATTTCGAATAGTCTCTTCGATCACTTTATAAATCCACAAAATCCTTTGTTTCTTCATTCAATAGAAAATCATGTTTTTGTTCTTATCACTCCTTCACTAGCTGGTAACAATTATCAGCAATGAAAATACAACATGATTGTTGCTCTTAAAACAATAAACAAAGAACAATTCATGTTTGGTACTCTTTCTTGTCTAACTTCAACCAATTCTCTTCACAAAACTTAAAAAAAATGTAACAAAATGGTGATGTCTTGGCTCACATGCTCCATGACGTCTTCCATTAAACAATCATTTATGTGAATGAACATTACTTCTAACATATGAAATAATCTTCTTGAACGTTCTTCGCATGGTGACAAGTTTCAAATTGTTGATTTGCCAAAAGAATGTCAAAATTGCAAGCAAGTTGATTCTAGTGTGTCCCAATACTACACTCCTCTTAAGATTTTGTGGAAAGAGCTTTCAATATATCATGTTGTTCTAATTTATATGTGTTCTACTCCTTGTAAATGTGGTTTACTCTTAAAAATTCAAAAAGAACGTAACGATGATTATGTTATCAAATTTCTTTATTGTCTCAACAATGATTTTTCTTATATTTGTTCCCAAATCATGCTTATGGAACCTATGCCTAATCTTGTGAAAACATTCTCCTTAGTTTTTCAACAAGAACATGAATTCAGTGGTTCCTACTCCAATAATTCACACGATTCTATTGCTAATGTGATTTTTCAAGATAACTCTACCAAAAAATATTTCCCAAATTATAATAATTTCTCCAATTCTCATGGAAGAGGTCGTTTCAATAAACCTTTTAGCCGAAATAATAAGTATTGTGATCATTGTCAAAGGACCAATCATACATATGAGAATTGTAGGATTAAACATGGTCTTCCACCAAATTACAAAAACAACAAAATTTTTATTGCTTCTTCTAAACCTTATGCTAGCGATGCTTAGCCCTTTTGCTATCTTTGACCTACTCTAGAGGTTGATAAGGTAGATTCTAAAATTGGTTTCTCAAAGGAACAATATCAAGTCATTCTTGCCATGTTACCACAATCACATAAAACCTATCTTCATGTGTCAAGTATTCATCAATGTACTTTCAACTTATCAGGTTATGTACCTTCCTCTTCTACTTGGTGCTATTGACCATATTTTCCCTTTCAAATCTGCCTAATACTCTTATACCTATTTCTCCTATCTCAATTTGATTGCCTAATCAACAATTTGTCACAACTAAATTTTCTGCTACAATTGTTTTGATAAATCTTATTCTTCATGACATTCTCTTTGTTCATGACTTTTCTGTTGAATTAATTTATATTCAAAAATTAATTAATTTTCATGATTATCTCGTCATTTTTTATAAAAATTATTGTGTTATTATGCAAACAACTACCTTCCCGATGATTGGAGTAGCTAAAATCGATCACAACTTGTTTCATCTCTTAGGAAATAACACCTTAAATTTATTTGATTAAACTATTATTTCTTGTCAATGTTCATTATAGCACACTACTCTTCTTAATAATATAAATTCTCTTACTTTTTGTGGCCCATGAAATTGGGTCATCCATCTAATAAAATTCTACAAGTTTTAGCTTCTTAATATTCTAATATTTCTTTTAATTTTTTTGATGATTGTGATGCTTAATCTTTTGCTAAACAATTTTTTTTTTTCATACTCAACTAGTACTACCACAACAATATCCTTTCTTGAATTAATTCATGCTCATATTTAGGGCCTTATTACTATCATTTCTATTGATGATTACAAGTATTTCTTAACCATAGTTAATAATTGTAGCATATTCACTTGCATTCTTTTTCTTAAACCAAAAGTGATGTGAAAATCATTCTTCCACACTTTATTACACTGACTAAAAATCAGTATTCTTGCAAACTAAAAAGATTAAGATCTAATAATGGAAAAAAGTTCTTCATAAATAATTTATATAACACAAAAGACATTTTTCATGAAACTTCTTATGTTGAAACCTCTTAACAAAATGGTATTATTATAGGAAACATTGGCATCTTCTCAATGTTTGTAAAGCCTCGGTTACAAACCTAGAACTAAAGGTTATTTTTGTATGACTTATATTCTAAATCCCTTTTTACTTCCATAAATGTTATATTTCATGAGAACATATTTTCTTATCATACTTTATTATCATATATTTCACCAATTTTAGTAGCCTTTTACTTTACCAATTTTACCTGTCATTACTGTTGTAAATAGGATTGAACTCCAATCTCTAGACTGAAACCATAATTGGACCTTGGTTCATCTTCCTTCTGGAAAGAAATTAGTTGGCTATATATGGATTTATAAGATCAAACATAGAACAAATGGTTCTATTTAGAGGTTTAAAGCTAGACTTGTGGCAAGGGTTTTACTAATACAGAAGGGTGAATTATTTTGAAACTTTCTCACCAGTAGTAAAACTTACTATAGTTAGACTTCTTTTGGTTATTGCTAGTGCTAACAACTGGTTCTTGCATCAATTGAATATTGACAATGTTTTTTTTCATGGAGACTTGCATGAAGAAGTCTACATAAAATCTCCTCCTGATTTTTCTCCTTCTCATCCAAAACTTGTTTGTAAACTTCAAAAGTCCTTATATATGACTCGAAGCAGGCAAGCTGTAATTGGAACCGGAAATTAACTTTTGAACTTCTCTTCTTAGGTTACAAGCAAGCCTTTGTATATCATTATCTTTTTGTTAAGACTCAAGGTTTTATGATCATAGTCTTTTTTATTTATGTTGATGATATTGTCCTTAGTGGCAATAGTTTTTCTGAGATCCAGTTTGTGAAAAGCCATCTTCATTCCTGATTTTGTATTAAAGGTTTTGACCCTCTCAAATACATTTTAGGCCTTGAAGTTGCTTGATCTAAGACTAATATGGTTTTAAATAAAAGAAAATACTACTTGAAATTACTTTCTGAATTGAGAATGCTTGGTTGCAAGCCTTCTTCTACTCTTGCAGATCCTTGTGTCAAGCTTCATGCTAATCAAGGCACTATAATTTCTGGTCCTTTTCCATTCAAAAGACTGATTGGTAAATTATTATATCTTACCAATATTAGGCCTAACATTGGCTTTGTTGTCCAACAACCTAGTAAATTTGTTTCCTACCCAAGAGAACCACACATGCAACTGGCAATCCTTAAGTACTTGATAACATTCCTGGTTCTAGTATATTTTGTCCATATAATAATCTTCTTAAGATATAGTCTTTTTCATATTCTAATTAGGCAACTTGTGCCACAACCAACAAATTTGTTATAGGTTATTGTGTCTTTTTGGGAAAATCATTGGTTACTTGGAAATCAAAGAAATAATATAATGTAATTAGGTCCTCTTTTGAGGCTGAGTACAAGACTTCAACTTCACTGACTCGTGAACTACAATGGCTCTAATATTTGCTTCATGACTTATATATTGTTGTTCTTGTTCCTTATTCTACATTTTGTGATAGTCAGTTAGCAATACAAATTGTTAAAAACCCAATATTTCATGAAAGAACTAAGTATATAGGTTGATTAAAAATTCAAGAAGGGCTTGTCCGATGGTTTCATGTTCCTCCTGCTAGCCAATTAGGTAACATGTTCACCAAATCCCTTTATCCTAATCCTTTCAAGATTGTTATTTCCAAGTTGGACCTTCATAATCTATATATCCACCTTGAGAGGGGTGTTAGGAATAACATCTCTTCATTCCATACCTTTTTAATACAAGATTAGTTTTTTTTTTGTTTCTTTTTGTTTTGGTTATAACTAGTTTCTTGGGGTGTATATAATAAAAAACTCAACATTATATAAGACAAATAATCGATTATAATCATTCAATATTTTTTATCACTTTCTTCTTCCTTATCTTTTTTTTTCCCGTGTTGAGTACAAGAACTTAGTCACATTTGTACCATTGTATGGAATATATATCCCTGAAGTATTTACATTTATTTACTTGGGTTAACCAAACTACAATTATCATTTTCTTTAGTGTACACTTTGACTAATTATAATAATTGAAATGTATTGTATTAAAAGTTTAATACTTACCAAAAAATGGAATCATAAAAGCAGCACAAACTGTAGATATAACCAACATTGTTCTAAGAGTAACGTAGCACCAAGAAGTACTTGAAATGTCATTTGGTAGCAATTCCTCAAGACTCCTTGCCAATGGGTTCATCATCAAAGCATATTTGTTCAAAATTAAAGAAAAGGTAAGTTAATTTAATGAATGTTGAATACGATCAATCCATGTTGCATTTTAATGAGCAAGAATCAATTCATTAAAAAGGATATTTGGTTAATGGGCTGATTACCTGAAAAAGAAAAAAAAAATCTAAAGTAAGATACAATGTAAATGTTTAATAGAGAGAAACAAAAATTAAATAAAAAATACTAAAGACTTCCTAAATCTTAGCATCTTACTATTGTCCACAATGCAACTCTGGAAGCTAATGCATCTCGTGGTAAATTCAATGTTATTTGAGACAAAGTCCCTTCACCAAACATGAGGAATCCCATGATTGCTGAGCTACCATATACAAATACACATAGAATAAAACTGTAACAAATAAATCAGAGTTAGGTAAACAAAAGAAGAAATGAAGACTCATTCATCTTGAGAAAATATTAACATTGAAAACAACAAGTGTTTTCAGAAATTAAGAACATCTTGAGTTTCCCTTATCAAGTTATAGGAACATACCTTGAAATCACTGCCCTGGTAAATTCTTTTTTGTTAGCCATGGACTGATAAAGGTTTGGAAAAACTGAATGTCCTGCAAAGCAAAACCCATAAACACCAAAAGCAAAAGGAAGGCCACTCCACTTCATTAATGGACCATTGTGGTGGAATCCAACATCATCTGTTGTTGCCCCGACAAGAAACATACACAGAATAATCAGAGTAGTAGATAAAACCCCTCCAGCTGCAGAATCATCACAATTAATATGGTAAATATTTGCTAAAATTGATTGATATCAAAGTTCCTTCAACCAAACATGAATCTTGTTGAGTTTGGAGAACCTGAGAGATAAGAGATTATGCGAAGATCCTTTAACCAAACAGTAGGGAGAATAATAAGTGCAGTTAAAATTGCAAACAAGTGTTTGGAGTCCAACTGAAGACTCCCTAAGTGTAAGGTTGTTCCCGGAAACAATCCAGTGAGGTTATCTCCTTCCAAGATGATAAACTCCACACAATATGACTGCGTTCATGAAAAGAGATTTCATACATACACATTTATTGCAAAGTGAGAAAAAATAGTGCTTATTAACATAAATATATATATATATATATATATATATATATATATATATATATTTGAATGTAATGCAATGTTAAGACTTACATATAACTCAGTGTACAAGATGATCTGTTACAAAAAAAAAGAGTATTGTTAATAATTTTGTATTCATAAAGCACCAATGTGAAAATTAATACAACCATTATAATTTGTATGTCAACATTTTAGTCATGTTATTAAGAATTTACATGAAACCACAATAAATAGAGAAAAATTATGATATGGTATATTTTGTCTGTGACTAAAGATGTACAAGAAAATGATCAAAGACAAAATTGAATCTTTACATAAGGACATCTAGCATGTGTATCAAACAAAGTTCATGATCCACAATCTCAAAATCTAAGTGATTGTTCTATTGCATTGGTGTGTATTGCAAAAGATATTGGTAGCAAAAGGTACATTAGAGTTCATTCTCCAAAATTGTTCTATTGCATTGGTGTGTATTGCAAAAGATACATTAGAGTTCCTTCTCCAAAAGTACATCCCAACAATTTCGTAGAGGTAATCCAAACATAAATTTAGTTTCATTAAGATCTTGATAAGAGAGGTTTTTTAGGGGGAAGGTGATTTCTACAAAAGTTAATTGAAATCAAAGAAATCCTTACTGATATAATAAGTCGACCATATCTTCCAAATGCAGCTTCTCCTATATCAGGGTAGCTAATGATTCCTTCTTTGCTTTCAAAACAGTGTTTCATAAGGTCTGCTGTATAACAACAAACAATTGCAAAGAAAAGCATCACAATCATACTTGCCCACCCAGCTTGTTTCACTGTGTACGGTGTTGAAAGAAGGCCAACTCCAGCCATCACATTAATCCCTGCCCAAGTACAATGTTATCTCAAAATTTTATGCTTTAGAAGGAATAGGATTTGGATATTATAAGCAAAATTACAAATTTGAAGGTAGGAGACTAATCATGTGTCTACAAAGTTTAACCCAAAAACTATAACCTTTCAAATCATCATATTTACTATTTAGTAGTAAGAATGAGTAGAAAAGTATGCATACATGCACTCCAATTGAGCTTATAATGTGTATTAAGAACAATTGAATATAGTTAAATTATTCAAATGTGCTAATAGATATTATTAAAGATTATCCATTCTTAAAATACCATTAAATATTGTTTGACTGAGGGTACATCCATAACCAACAGGTAATTCTTCAGGAATTTGCATCTGAACTGAAGCTTTCTCCCACCATGTTGATTGTCTTCTAATGATCCCTGCATGAGCGAGTTCCTCAGCAGATAGAAAAGATGTCTTTTCATCACTTTCTAAGATACTCTTTGAAGGACCACCGATAAAGCTTGAATAAAGAACACTTGGTGCTCGTATAATTGATTCAAGATTTGGAGCAGCAGAAATTGTGTAAGAATCAATGGCATCTCTGTCATATAAGAGTAATGATAATAAAGGAATAAGAAAGAAATAGTGAATGACCTTAGGATAAGGGAAATAAAAAGACAACCCACAACATTTTAATTATATATAAATCATGTCAAAACAACCTTACACAACAACAATTGACACACAAGTGTAGAAATCAGGAGGAACATGAGATGTAAACTATGCTCTATGTTTGATGTACATTAAAAAGAAAGCATAACAAATAATAAGATTTCATGAAGAGAAATGACATTGAGGTCAAATGGAGAATGCTCTTTATACCTGTAAGTTTGAGGCCACTGTTGAGAAACGAAAGAAGATTGAGGAAATGCTCTACGATTCCCCTCATTGTCGCTGTCATATTGATTACTAGTCTCATAATCAACATTTTCTATATCGTGATGTTCTTCGTTAGCATCTTCGTCCATGAAAATACGGGGATTTCTTTCTTTATTCTCCTTGTTTGACATTCTTACAATTTCACTATAATGCAACTAAAACTTTTTACAACAAGATCAATGTATATATTTTATATCTTTTATGTTACTTCTATTATTTTTTAGATGACAAAAGTAACTATCACACTTGACTTGGATGTTTGAATTTCTCTACGTCTAATGATGAAGAACAATTTGAAGCAATGTTGGAAAAAATTGAAGGAAAAAAAGGTGGTAAACGAAATTGATATGAAGAAGATGCATAACGGTTGCATTGTGAAGCGGAAGGATGATACACAAAAGTGACACGTGTTATGCTAGGAACACAAGGTTTTATCGGTGTACAAAATTTGTCCAGGAAACACTCTCGGATCAAGGAAAATTTCATCTACTCCTTATTTTCAATTAGTTTTATCCATTGATTAACATTACAAACAATTTAAACCATTAATATATTTTATATAATAATAATAATAATAATAATAATAATAATAATAATATTATTATTATTATTATTATTATTATGTTTTGACACAATATCTTTTCAAAAAAGTGCAATTTGGATTAGACTTTGTTTTTTTATGTTGCATCTATTTATATTATGTTAAAATATTGAAATATAATATTTTTTTTATTTTAAAACGAAAGAAATACAAAAATGCTAGAGTCATGTATAGTAACTAAACTCAGATAAAATCTATTTTATGCAACACGTATATCTTTCAAAACTCTCGGAAAAATATGAGAGTAGTTGACAATGATCTATAGTTATATGAAATGATAATTTATTTTAACTATGATATTATAAAAAAATAAATTTAAAAAAATAAAAATAAATATTTAATTTCTAATTTTGGAATAAATGAATTATTTATCTCTGTAAAAAAGATGAGTATTTTATCTTTGTAAAAGAGTTTGGATTAATATTACTTAGTTTATTATTTAATATTACCTCTCTCTCTTTGTGCATGTGTTGCTCTAGGATGAAATCTTTGAAAACCACACAAATTATCTAAGCTTTGAAGTGATAAAATAGCATGGGCTAAATGTTTATGTTGTTTTACTTATATTTCTTAAGCTGCTCTTTCTTTCGAGATATGATTGTGTGTTTTGAAGTGTCTATATTTGGTTGATCAAATCAACCAACCAAACCTAACTAGGTCAATAGAGATGTGTTGAACTGGATTTAATATAAAAATAAAACAAAAAATTAACTAAAAAAATAAATTATTGGATTCAGCTATATAAGTGTGTCCAAACTAATATTTTAAAAATCGGGTTATTATTTCGTAAAGTATAGCTTTAAGTTTTAAATATTTAATAGGATGGAATCAAAATTCAATCGAATTAAATAAAATAATATTTTTATAATATGATAAGTTAATTAATAATAATAATAATAATAATATTTAAAAATAATAATAAAATTTATTAATAAATGTTATAAATATAAAATATATTAAATAAGGTAAGATGGATAATTGTTAAAATAAAATGAAAATATAACAAAATAATTATTATTTAAAATTAATCCTATGAGATAAAAAAAATTAAAATTTATTCTATCTTTTATATAAAAAAAATAATCTTAAATTTTTGCTTTTATAAAAATTTTTTTACCTAAAAACCTTAACAAGTTTTCTCGTTTTTACCAATTTTATCTTGATTTATTAAAATTTGATTATTTAAAAACAACGAATCAATTTCTAATTAAACTTATTTTCAATTATCCATGGAATCAACTGATCATCTAATTTAATTTTCAAAACAATGATTCAATCGTGTTCAAACTTAAGTATTAAATAATTTATCTGATCCTATTTTCAAAATAATGATTCAATCGTAATTAAACTTAAGTCGTGTACGTCGTATTTCTAATCAGTTTTTTATTAACAATTAATATTTCATTTTTTAGTTAATCCATGATAATAATTTGATATATCTGATTTAAATTTTGTTGATTAAAATTTTAGGATTATAATTAATGTAAAATTGGTATCTTGAGATTTTAGAATTCTAAGTATAATATTTTTTTTCCTTATCATTATTTTACTTAGGATTGAACTTATGTGTATTCTGTTATTTAAAATATTATGAAGTAATAGAATTCGAATTGATGAATTAGGTCAGGAATTTCTTATGTTACAAAGTGTTGGAGGCATATTATAGGATCTTAACACCAATTAATGTTAGAATCACGCAGCGAAATGTTAGCGTGGTCGGACAAAAATCAAGGGGGGTGAATTGGTTTCTTAACAAAAATTAGGTTTTCAAAATTTTCTCCAAATTTTACCGATTAAAAACTGTGTAAATGTAAGTAGAGAAGAGAAGAGAATCTTACACAAGAAATTTATACTGGTTCGGATCAAAAGACCCTACGTCCAGTTGCTAATCACTCAAACAGAGGATTAACGTTGTCACTATAATCAAGTTGTTACAAACAAATTACAATTGAAATGATAAAGATAAGAAAACACCTCTCTTGAAATCCACAAGAGATGAAGAACAACTTTCCCTAGAGACGGCACAACACACAATCCACTAAGAACTCCACTTAGTGTTTCTTATCGCTTCTAGCCCACACCAGATTCCAAAAGCCCATTTTTCTTGCAACAAACAGTTCTCTGGCACTACAGCACTTAACTTTTGTATGAAAAAGGTTGTTCTTATTTTCTGAGTGCCATAGAGAAGCTTAAGTAGAGAAATTAGGGTTTGGGAATTGGGAATTTCGGAATTAGGGTTCTTGGAAATAGGGTTTTCGAAAATAGGGTTGATTTGAAGTTAAAAATCAAAATCTGACTGAAATAATCGATTAAATGAAGTATTAATCGATTATTACGAGCCAAAATCAACAGAACCCTAAAACTCTCGTTTTAGTCGATTAACGTGTGGTTTAATCGATTAAACCAGATGAGCGGATACGTGAAAATAGTTTTTCTTACTCGTTTTAATCGATTATTTCCCTATTTAATCGATTAAAGCCGAGCCTGGATCATAAATTTGAGCTTTTTGAAGCTTCTAAGGTGCAGACTATGTATCGGCTATCTTAAACTCTAATATTACGGACTCAATCTAATTGAAACAGAGTTATTACAATACAAAACAAGTCTTCAACATTCTAAGTCTTTGAGTTCTTGAATCATCATCAAAATCAACAATCTTCATGTTCATCAAGTGCAACATCAAGTCCTTGAATGTTCAACAATTAATAAATGGGTGAGTAAAATGATTAACTTATTCAAATTGTTACTTTTAAAATATTTGGAGCAATTGAAATTTTAAAGTATAAATTTACCATTGAGATATATGTGTTATATTATATTAAAAATAAAGTTAAAATTTTGTAATAATAATTTTAACATGTCATAGGGTGTAACTACACCGATCAAGGTGTACGAGACACATTAGAAAGAATTTATTTCGCTATTTTAGATTATGATCTCATCTATGAAGTTGTAACAAATGAGAAAAAAATATTAATATCAAAATAATCCTAGATGTTGCGTAATTAATTAAGTTAGTTTCATTAAAAAATAATTCTTACAACTTAAGTTAGGATTATTTTAGTAAAAAAAAAAGGTGTCAAAATTAAAGTAAACAAATTTATGTTATTTCTTATTTTACACATAGTAAATGATTAAACTAGATCTTAAAATAAACATAATTTCTAGATAATTTGTTTACCTTTTAAATAAAATAAGTCCCAACTCAAGGGTTAAAATAAATATAGATGTTCATAGAAACATAAAAGAAAATAAGTGAGATAACATTTAAAACTTAATTATAATAGTAACTTATCATATGTAAATTTTATTTTAAAGTGTTTTAATATTTTTATTTAAATTATGTATTAAGAAATTTCTATTATTATTTAAAATAAAAAATATATATTATATTATTATTATTATTTTGATTTAGATAATTATGATTAAAATATTATTGATATTTTATTATATATATATATATATATATATATATATATATTTACATTAATAAAATATAAGAGTGAGGATCTCAACCATATCCTATATCAATCAATGATACAACAATTTAATCATTTACTCAATTATTTGATCTAATTAACTAGGTACACAATTTTCACAATATTATCATTAAAAATTATATAAAATCAACAATATGTTTCCATTTTGTAGAAGTGTGTCTTTCTTGTGAAATCCGAAAACTTGTATGTTTTTCAATACATAATAAATTGTATTATTATTTTGTATAGCATTTTATTATAAAATGAAAAGTATTTCTATTACACTTGAAAAATATACAAATATGGAAAGAAATTATACTAATGAAAAAATTATAATATCAAAATAAATAAAAATGTAATATAGGAAAAGAAAATACCGTATTATTCCAAAATATGTCATAATAAATTTACAAATATACATATAATTAATAATATAATAAAAATAAAAAAAGATCAATTTAGCTCCTAAAATTTCAACTATTATTATATTAGTCTCTGAATAAAAAAGTCAAATAAATTTCTGATATTATTTAGAGGTTTAAAGTTTATTAAATCACCACTTGTTTTCATGTTGGTCCGTAGTGAAATTACTCAAGTAAAAATAACGACATACATTTAGAAACTGAATAAAAAGGGGTTAATTTTAGATTCTCAAATACTTTAGAAAAATAGGAACTCATTTGATTTTTTTTTTCAATTTTAAAACTAGCACGATATATGGTGAGATATAACTTCAGAATTAAATTAACTGTTAATTCAAATAAAAAATATTGACACAAAGAGTAAAACGAAAATGATTAATTTTGGTGAGGCTGAGAAAATATAGTTTTGTTACATCTCTTGTAAGTAAAACAAATAGAAACCACAGCACGAACTTCCTAAACTAGGACATGTTTATTATTGCTTTTAAAAGTAATTTTATAATTTTTGGTTTTTAAAAATTAAAATTAATAAAAGGTACTTTTTATTTTAATTTTCTATTTTTATTAATATGTATCAATATTTTTAC